AATAATAATAATAATAATAACATAAAAGTTATTTATATTTTTTTTCTAAAATTCACCAATATATTTTTATTAGATATAATCTTGGCCGAAGTAGATGCGACTCTACTAAACAATAAAACTCTTTCAATGTAAAACTCTTCATATCTCATACATAGATAATTTATACTAAAAAGATAAAAATAAAAATAATAATAATAAATACTAAATCAATTAGATAATTTGATTTTTTAAATGTGGTGTATATGATTTATCTTCTTCTTTTTTACACATTTTATATTTTTAAATGTACTGAATTATGGTGTGATGTACCGAAAATATATTATATATTTTTAGAACAAATTAATGGTTATGGATTCTGTTTGTAGATAAAATCAAATTATATATATAGTGAGAGTGTGTGTATGTTAAGTCAAAAGACGGTCTTGAATTCCTCAAATTTTAATGATAATAAATGAAATATTTTTTCTTAAATAAAATTAAATATTTACAAAGATATTTTATCAAATGAAATGTGAAAAATATATATCATTTATAAGATGAAGAAAATGTTAGAACTCTCAAAATTTATTAAAAAAAAACAAATTATCCGTTAGAAACAAAAAGACAAAATTCCAGATATCACGGATAAAGTAGAAAAAGACTTAAAAAAAATATTCTACACTGACTTTAACTACTCTACACTGATATTACTTTTGCTATACTCATTTTAAAAGGAAATAATGATAAATAACCTACTAGATCAAATAAGAGATACATGTCTTACTAAAAAGTATTTGATGTTTGTGTTAAATGCAACAATAATAATCTCTATGATCAACAAAAAAAAGATAGACGAAATAACTCGTGAAGCAAATTGTGAGTTCAACTCAAAATTACCGCAACGATCATCTTCTCTTAAGCTATTATAAAATGATCAATTCTTCAAACAATAATGGTAGAGATACATACATAGAACAACAAAGAAACATAAAAAAGTGATACAAATCGAAAAAATTGTACGTATAGAAAAGCATACTAAAATATACAAAGCATAAAACTACAATGAAGCACTTATTGTAAATTTTGTATATATATTCTTTTATAGATAATTTGTGTTTTCATTGATGATTACATCACGTCTAGAAGAGACTTACATTTTGTTGTAAAGGTAAGAATACTTGGTGATTGAACCTATAGAAACTTGTTTGAAATAATACTTAGTGTTAAGTCTATAAAGGTTTGGTTGAAAGAATATTTAGTATTAAGGCTTGTTGTTCAAATAATACTTGTGTAGTTACTTGAAGAGACAAACTGAAGACTACTTAGGATTGAGTTCAGACTTAGAAAAAAAATACTTATAACTTTGTTAAAAGTTAGTAAAATTCAAAATGGTTAGATTGAGAACTGAGCATAATCTTAATGGTTGAGACAAACCAATCTAAAAATCTATGGTACTTCAACTGACTCTTCTCCGATGCTTTGTCGTTATTTTTTTTTTCACTGTACAAATGTGTGAATTTTTGATACACATTATTCAACCACTTTTCTAGTGGATGTCTTTTCTCCATATAATATATATATATAATATATATATATATATATTATTTTTATTAATTATTATACTAGTTAATAACTTTCAAATGTCATTGGGTTTGTGGCAAAGGTTTAGGAGTGTTAATGGAATGTCTAATGGTTATAGTGATATCTGCTAGTCCTATCTTTATTTATAAAAAAAAGTAACTTTCAAATTAGATAATATTTTTTTACCAAAATTATATGTACAAAAATTTGTATTAATTTAAAATTATTTGACAAATCATTTATATAAATTAAAATTAATGTAATATATAGTCTTTGAATGTTCTAAAATATAAACTAAGATAAATTTTTTTATTGCTATTAAATTTTAATAAAATTTAACATAAACATTTAAAATAATACTAAACTATAATTTAACCATTGAATCAACGAAATTCATTTTTTATATAAAATTATTGATTGTATAATAATTGTAAAAGTTACATTAAATTAATTTAATATTTCTCTGTTTAAATTATGTTGGGTAAATTAACAAGTTTTAAAAAGTAAGTAGTCAGGGTAATTTTCAGTTGTCCAAAAGAGAAATTACATATACCAAAGGTTATATGATTTAGGGTTAGTTTATTATTCGGAGAAACATGAAGTCTATTATTTTTACAACAAAAAGACAAAAATTGTTTGAGATGATGGGTGAAGTTATTATCATGGAGTTGGATCACTAACAAAGGTGAGTTTTCGCATCTAATTTCATGTTTGATTGTATCATGACTTAGAGCGAGTTCATGAAATATATTAACAAGATATTCACAATTATGTTGTGATTGAGGGGACTTCATATATTATAATGTGTTATTTTGCTTTTGGGGTTACGTGATAAAGGCACACAGTTGCATTTACGAATGATTTAATTCGACTTTGTGGTGTTTAATCATTGTACCTTAGTAATTTATGAATGATTTAATTCAAACATGTGGAATCCATCGTAAAAACTCATATAAGGTCATCAATATCTTTAATGTTAGTTTTTAATTGTGTTTTTATACGTAAAAATCTTTTGTAAATTTTATTGTTGGAACATTTTGACATGGTGTAAATCATTTTTATACAATAACAATTCAGAAGGGGTTCTTAACAATTAGAAAATATTTTAATTTTAAAAAATAATTTTAAATAAAAATATAAAAATGTGAAGTCTATTATATATAACCCACATTGAGTAAATTAAGAACTAAGTTAAGTTCTTCTATTAAAGTAAAAAATATTTTAAATCTTATATATATGATATTAAGAGATTCACAAAAAGTGTATTGAGAATTAAAGTAAGTTGTACAATTATATATGCTCTTATAATTTTAAAACTTAATTTATTAAGATCAAAGTTTATGGAATAATTTTGTTCAGAATTCACTATTGTTAGCTAGGGATGTAATAATTATTTTTTAATAGATTTGATTGCAAAGACTACTTTCAATTGTTTACTTAGACTTGTTTTTTTAATTTTTTTTAATTTTTTTTTTTGAAAGTACTTAAAGGTAGGATGTCCTCTTCCAAAAAAAAAAAAAAAAAAAAGCGAAATGTTAGAACCTATTTGAAAAATATGATAGTGTTATTTTTATTTTAAGAATAGTCTACATATTAATGCAAGAATTTCCCATACAAAACTCAATGGATTATTGGCAGTGTAGCAATTACACACCATGTGTTCATATGTTATGCAATTAAATTATCTAATAAAAAATGTGTCTGATTCTTGTAAAAACTCATAAGATTAATAACAGTCATAATATTACAACTAGAAATATTTTTTTATCGATAGAAATATGTGGTAGGACCAAAATAAAAAAGGACAAAATTTAAGTATAATTTATTTAAGTGTGATTAATGTTATTTTTTAATAAAATTGAATATATATTTTTGTAATGTGTATAAATATATATCAACGAAACTTATCTTAAATATAAATACATATTATAAAGATAAATTTCTAATTTTGATCGAAAATTAATATCAATCGTACCTAAAAAAATTAATTTTTGTAATATATATATATATATATATATATATATATATATATATATA